ATCAGGAATCAGGATGACAACCAAAAGTGGATTTGCCTGCCCTCATCAGAACTGAGCCATCAATTGCGACCGGTGCTAAGGTAATGGAGCATCAGGGTGATAACAAAGGAGAAGAAAACACTTTTTACAAGTCTGCCGACGCAACACGAGAAGACGGATAAACTTGAGTGTTCAGGAGTTTATCGCATCAAATGCGGCAACTGTGGGCAGAAGTATATCGGTGAAACAGAAAAAAAAATTGGTCTACGAATCAAGGAACATCAAAGACTCTGCAGGAACATGGATACGAAAAGATCCGAAATAGCGGAACATATTGCACGAACGGGGCACGAAAGCGACTGGAAATCGACCGAAAGGTTGGCTGCATATGGTGAAAATAGGAGAAAACGCAAGATCCGAGAGGCTATCGAAATACTGACCAAGAGAAATATAAGGAACATAAGACTTGAAGGAGGCAGGATCAGCGAAAACTTTGCATATTGACTAAACAAACTCGGAGAAGATCAGGCAACAGCAAGATCAGCAAAATGAAGACGACTGGATTAAGGTTATATCTTTAATTTTTGGAAAAGAGATCGCAAGGGGACGAGAAAGGAACAATTAGAAGCAAAGAAGAGACGTCTTTAGTGAGCCTAATCAAAACAAGTAGAACCCCAACAATTGTGGGTTGACACACAAGAGACTAGGACGTAGGGACTGATAGACATAGTATTATAGATAGATATAGGAAAGACGCGGTGGATACTCAAGCTATTTGGCTAACAATAGACGTATTTTCTCATAGACGTGATCCTTGAATCACGAATATTGTTAGCCAACTAGCTCTAGTTTCCACTGCTTCTATCCTCTTTCTATCTCTAATACCAAGTCTACGACTTCCTATGCCCTAGTCTCTTGTGTGACAACTCACAAATGTTGTGGTTCAACATTGAACTTAATCAAAGCAAGCAGTACCACAGCGTAGCAATATGGCAGACTCTGATCGGCATTCCCAGAGCAAGTGTGAAGGGGGTTAGAAGAACAGTGTGGAGTGTGAAGGGTTTTCATGAATGCCTCTCAAAGGAGCACACCAATACATCGAAATAAGCATGGTAAAAAATGTAAGAGTGAAGGCGTGATATGAGGATATAGGAAATATGAATAGTCAAGGGCAGAAGGGGAGATATAACAACTGTTTAGCACACGTTTTGTCAAAGAATCGGCCTAACTTGTCTCTTTGACGAGTTGTTGTGTGGTGCTAAGAATGGCGAGACTCACTGACGATGCCGACTACGATACCGGTGAAACGTCGGAGAATGTCCCACGCCTACGGTCCGACTTTGGGAATGATCATGCATACAATGGACTCCGGACTAGGTGCGTTCCTATCTGTCTTCCTACCAATATGACCAAGTTGCGAAAACAAGGTCAACAAACCTCTATGCAATGAAAGGAGACTGCGACCACACAAAAGGCCACACCATCTTGGTCTTCATACCTTCGTTTAAATTTGTGAAAATATTTATGAATACATCTTCAATGAGGGTTGATTAAAACGATTCATCTTTTTCAATGGCACCATACTAAATTAATTATGAAGCTTTGGTGTTTTTCATTTAAGATAGAAAGACTAAACATGACAAACTAGCTTTATAATAACATTTTAGATGTCCAATCCACTCACAATAATCCATTTTAAGAAATTATGATTTTCGTAAATCTATCCCATAAGTTCGTCGGAAAGAATATAAGAGGAATAATGTCAGTTTAATTGGGACAAATCTGGACTAGAATACTTGGCCTAATTATCTGAAGTTTCATATGGAGTTAGAAAGGTATCAAACCAAAGATTAAACACGTTTTTCTGAGCAACAAATTTTGCAAATATCTATGCACAAAAGTATTGAAGCAAGTTGGCTCTTTTATAATTTTTTTCGTCTATACTTAAAATATCCACAATATCCTTTTCACCATGTGCTTTCTTGAATTTTATACCATGCGTAGATTCCCCTCGAGGCAATCAAAAACCTGTTGCCTTAAAATCTTGGTGGCAGCTTTTTACCTAACTCATCTGACTTATTTTTCAGCATTTGGCAACTGATGCACACACCTCATCCAGTTACTACACAGAAACATTCATCGACTGTCCTCATTAATTTATTTTTCGTTATTTTCCCGCTTCAATTTTTTGAATATTCTTTATCGTCCTTGGCGTAATCTTCATTCTTCTCGCAGTTTATATTGCTGGCGTGTAAAGCGTAAGATTCTAGAATTAGATATTCCATTTATCTCTGCCAGCCGATGATGACTGGTGTTACCCTGTTTGCTTTTTTGTCCATCCAGTAAGGTAATTCTTTCGGACAGTTGCAAAACCTACCGGGAAATCTGGAACAGGAACAAAAAGTTAAAAAACTGTTAAAAATCACCTCAAGTAATACATCTACAATGTCTGAATCAGCATCAGGAAGAGAAGAGATCCGGCATTGCTGCAGACACCTGTTCCGATTAAACAGCGTCATATTTAAAATAAGCTATGCTTTTGTTATATGAGATCTGTCCTAAATTAACTCCATTAACTGATGGTCCAACTAACCGCAACTCCTTATATCATATTTCGACATCATCTATTCTAAGCCAGAAGTAGGTTTCATTAATGCAGGCTTATCTA